GTAATCTATCTAGTATTTTAAAGGCATATATGTCTAACATCGTCAAATCTGCCGATATATTATCTTTTTTTCTTCCTATTATTATACCTAATATCTATGTATCGAACTTTCTCGGCCCTGTTCGTATCTATCTCCCTACCTACCTACCTATTTATATTAACCTAATTATATTAAGAAATGGACATTTCTTAATATATGACGTCATTTGTTTACATTCGATACGCCAGAGCAGTTATGAATGTACGAGATTCATGGAAGATTGAAGTTTATAAGCAGTAAATTCGACCTTGTCTACCGAACGCTTCTTTGTGGCCGATCGGTAAGGCACGTCAGCATAAATGACGGTTCCGTATAGGATGCAGGTTCGAATCCTGTCAAAGAACGAATATTTTCTATGAAAATTTCTCGGACATTCAGGCCGGTAAATGTTATTTAATACTGTTTATTATAAACAGAGCATTTACTTAAATACTTGTATCTATAAAAAAGAACGTTAAACATAAAAATGTCTTTAATTAACCTAATTGTATCTACATACCTACCTTCCTATATCTACCTAACTACCTATCTATATAATGTTGTGCGTATATAGGTATGTACCTACATACTTATCTATATCATACTGTTCGCCCCTATCTAACTCCTTACCTGTATCAGCCTGTTCGTACCTACCGATCTATATGAGTCTGCTCGTAACTACCTACCAATCTACGACCTGTCGGCTAGGGCTTCAGAATACGCTGAATGCACCTCTGCAGAGAACTAAGACGGAGGGTGTTCTTAGCTCTCTGCTGAGGGCTTAAGAGGTGGGTTCCCAGGGAAACCATCTGTTTGCCGTGGGAGGCAACCCACGGGATCCTGGTGGTTGAGAGCTTCAGGAGTCAGGGTTAGATACTTCTGATTCCCAACACATCACTTTGTCATTTACTTGGACTAGACAGGCGATCGGAGAGACCGGATCCGTTCAATTGGCTCGTTATGCAAAGTCATAGTGAATATAATTATACCAATTTATAGAGTTCTTTATAACTAAATAAAATACCTCAAATATACACCGGGAATAAATACCATCTCTATCCAATTTATAGACGTTAGAAGCCGATGAGTGAAGGTCAGTTGGTTTGAAGGGATGTAGCCTTAGACATCGTTGTAAACATACCAGTTTGTACACTTAAGATTTGGGTAGTCTCTCTCTCGAATGCAAGTACACTGGTTTGTGTAGCCCTGACCGCTCTGGGGTTCTCTCTTGCCACGTCCAAAAGCCGGTCTCCGAGGTGAGTGGGAAACACACGTAGTTAATTTTTTCTACATGAAAAATTATTAATAACCAAAATAAAAAAAATAAAAATAAAAAGGTACTGAATCTGATTCTGGAAAAAATTAATTACTGAATTTTCAAATTTTCTTGTGTTCCCGTCTCTATATGAAATTCCTCTAGCAAAATTTCCCTTTTCTTGACTGAAAAAGGGTTATTCATCAGGAGTTACCCAAAACAGTTAAGAAATTTATAAATGGTAGTTTGTTAGTAGGAGTAAAAAATAGAAAACACGCTGAAAATTTAATCAAGAAGAAAACTTTCCATAACATCAAAATAAAAACCTTTCTCCCATGAAGGACTGAACACTTCGAAGGGAAACATTTGAAGCAGAAAGATGTCTCTGGCCACATCTGAAGAAATCACATCTGCCTTAGGGAGCCAAGGGGTCAGTGATTACCGTAAAATCAAAATAAAATGTAAAGGATAACGTATATCCTTATTTTTTCACACTTTGTCACAATCCCTGAACAAAATAAAAGTTGGATACAACATTGGAGCAGTGGAACAATATATTCCTGCTTCACCAAGTTTCTTCAAATGCCAAATGTTTGGGTATCACAGGGATAGCTGCAGAGGTCAACTAACATGTGGAGAATATGGCCAAATGGATTCAGACCACACAGAAGAATAACTGATCGACAAACATTAATTAAATTATCCAGCTCAAGACTTCGCTCAAAGATGGATTCCGCTAGTTTCATATGTGGGGGCAGTCAGAAAATCATACATAAAAATATTCAACGAAACCTATCATGAAAGTCTCAGACCAGTACCTGGGGCTTTTAGAAAATCACCGGTTGATATCTTATACAAAGAAGCTAATGGAATACCTCCACATTTAAGACGCACTAAACTGGCACGACGGTACTATTTCAAAATAAAATCATGCCCAACTAGCTCAGCTTATAGTAATAACTACTGTGATCTATTAAAAAAAAGAAAAAGACAATAAAATACAATCCTATGGACACAGAATGAAATCCATTGTTGAAGAGTTAGGGACCTCACCCTCAAACATACCAGGATCGACTGCAGTCAATATTCCACCATGGGCAATGTTGAAACTTGACTAATGCATAGAATAATAATGCAACACAAAATGTACTTAGAACAAAACGTATTGAAACAAGAAAGTGTACAAAATATTTACATATAGTCTTTTGTATATTCCTGGTAAGACCGTTCCTGGAGAATGTGTTGACTGAGTCGCAGTCGGACAGAGTCTCTGGATTGAGTCTCTTGATTCCTCCCTCTCTTCCCGGTACCAACCATATTTATATGGTCGGTACTCTACTATGCAAATTAGGTGGATCCTACCACAACAATATCAGAGATAGACCGTATGTAGATATTAACGTGAACATTGAAGTCAAAACTCAGAGGCGACAGACTGTTTCCTGCTAGCGGCCTGACGATTGCGTCTAGCATGAAACATCCTATTGCCTCTGAGTGTTAACTTCTATGTTCACTTATATATATACAAATGAACTTTATATATGGAGAACTATAGTTTTAAAGTGTGTTATATTTAGGGGATAAAGTGCTCGATATCTGTTGAAACTTGACTAATGCATGGAATAATAATGCAACACAAAATGTACTTCGAACAAAATGTATTGAAACAAGAAAGTTTAACACAATATTTACATATAGTCTTTTGTATATTCCTGGTAAGTCCGTTCCTGGAGAATGTGTTGACTGAGTCGCAGTCGGGCAGAGTCTCTGGTTGAATCTCTTGATTCCTGTATTTATCTATCCAACCACGAGGATAAAATGTGGCACAAGGCCGGTTTAAAGTGTTTATCTCCGAGCCCGTAGGCTCGGCCAAAGATATGGCCTTTCTGAACCCGCCTAGACGGGTTCAAGGACTGTCTACCACCCCGGACGAAACCCTGCCTCTCGGCAAAGCCTCGTCCGGGTCCCTCACTGTAAAATGCAGAGAGTTCGACTGAGAGTGAATCTCTTGATTCCTCTCTCTCTTCCCGGTACCAACCATATTTATATGGTCGGTACTCCACTATGCAAATTAGGTGGATCCTACCACAACAGGCAATCAAGCAACACGAAGACTTGCTTGAATTAAATAAACTCCTTAAAGAAAATAACGCACCAAGGACAAGTTTCAGGGCATAATGGAAAAGTACCCTAAACATACATTCATCTGTACAGACAGGTGAAAGTGTGAGAACAAGACAAGATGTACGGCTTCTTTTTATGTACAGTGTCCTTTCAGGACGTAGGCGATCATATCTCTCCACCTCCATCTATCACTTGCAGCTCTTTCGCTCCGCCACCTACCTCAGACCACGTTCTGTCATCCACTTGCTTAAAGCCGCTAGGTTTGTCATGCGTTGCTTTCTCTTGTCTCTCTTTCCCTCGACAGGTGAGTATCATATTCTCCATGCCGTCCTTCCTCATTATGTGTCCCAGCAACTTCAGCTGCTTCTTCCTCATGTTAAGTATAAGCCTCCTCCTTGTTTGCATCCTTTCTAAGTCCTCATCGTTGCCCACACGCTCGGTTCATGATATCCTTAGCATCCTTCTGTAGAGTCACATCTATGTTGCCTTTGAGGAAATCGTCCAACATTCGCTGCCGTAAAGAAGAACAGATTTAACGTAGCAGCTCTTTTCTTCGTTACCAAAGAAATCCCCCTGTCTCACATTACTCTGCCCAGTTTTTGGAATGAGTTCCCGACTATCTCAGTCAGTGAACCAAAAATATTACCAAAAGAAAGCGCCTCCCAAAGTGAAGTTCTATTTTCACCGCGGAGGCTTACGCAATAGAGCTAGCTCTCAATATAATTACACAGAGCAAGCGAAATGATTTCTTAATTTTTTTCGGACTGACTTATCCGTCCTAATGGCTTTGAAAAATAAAACCAACAAACCACTCATTATCAAACTACTAGGCAAAGTGAGCACTACTTGCAAACAATGTTAGATTCCAAGAAACATCGGAGTGGAAGCTTACAATAAAGCAAACCTAGCAGTCAAATCAGCTTTCAGTATGGATACAGATTCAACGACCCAAATCCCATATATCGACTTTGAAAAGATCATTAACAAATATATACAAAAGGCCGATAACCCACGCAATAAACTCTTTGCAATTCAGTTAAAAAAAGGAGAATGGAAGTCGGTTTTCTGAAAATCTTGAAAGGAAGAAGTAGTACTAGCCTGCTTACAAATTGTCCACACGAGAATAATCCACGCTTACTCGTTAAACAACGGAGAACAACCTGTATGCCATGGATGTGAAACGGCATACACTATTAAACATATATGAACCGAATGTTCAGACCTTGTACTCTCGGGATAAAAATGATATAAACAACATGAGATCTTCTAGAAAGGAAAAAAGTAGATGACATGATATAATTTCTTAAAACGGTGGGCCTCTGCCCAAAAAATATAAATTAAATGAGAATTTCAATAAAATCAATTTCTCTATAAAACTGTATATCTGAAAAGAATACATCAATGAAACAAGACTCTCGACAAAAAAAAGCCCTCTTTGCAAAAAATATGTTAATGAAACCTGATCTACAAACTGATATCTTACAGAAAAATAGAAATTCTATTCATACAAATCTATGGTAAAAATTTTATAAATTAAATAACCCCTGAGGTTGATATGCCGTACATCAAAACAAATCCAACAAAACCTACCTACTTACATCAGTCCGTGTCTTTCTTTCTATCTATCTATCTATCTATCTATCTATCTATCTATCTATCTATCTATCTATCTCAGTCTGTTCATAATCTATCTATCTATCTATTCAGTCTATAAAATCTATCTATCTATCTATCTCAGTCTGTTCATAATCTATCTATCTATCTATCTATCTCAGTCTGTTCATGATCTATCTATCTATCTATCTATCTATCTATCTATCTAAGTCTGTTCATAATCTATCTATCGATCTCAGTCTGTTCATAATCTATCTATCTATCTATCTATCTATCTATCTATCTATCTATCTATCTATCTATCTATCTATCTCAGTCTGTTCATAATCTATCTATCTATCTATCTATCTATCTATCTATCTATCTATCTATCGTGGTCTATCTGTCTATTGTCCAGAAAATGCTATCGATCACCCAGACGGACAGAGACTTGTCAGTTCGAGGGAAAAAATATCACCCACCTTAAGTTGTATAACCGTCTGGTGATTTGGTAAAATGGAAGATAATTTGAACAAAAGAGAAACAGATTTCCTGTCTTTTTATACAACTTCAGGGAATCATACGGTAATCCTATCACGTGACCACCTATTATAAAAGGCCAGTAAAGATAATAACGAGATTTTGTTTAGTAAGTATTTAAACAACTTAAAGTAAGTACACTGCGCCTTTCTCATCTAAACAACAGTTAAAATCTCCACACTGTCTATCTAATATTAATACGTATTTAACAAATGACTTTAACTTCTATGTTTCTATTTGTTGGGTGTGTGAAAATATATCCAGCATTTTCACTTTTTTTTTTTAAATATAATTTTCCCCTGTTTATTCAGTCCATGAATTTCAAAAGATGGCGTTGGGAATTTTTACGCACCCCTAATATCTCGTTTATTGTAAAAGGTTAGCTTGTATATTGGTTTGTGTCAGATTAATGCTCGATTTGTACGTAGACTCCCTGTTATTCTCTCCATCATCTGCGCCTGTTTGTTCTTTCGATTGTCTTCTCCTGAATACAATGTCACCGGGAAAGACCGGAAGGCCTGCAGCCGAAACGTTGTTGTAAAACAAAAACAGAAATAACTTCCAACTGAAAGCGAGTTTTCCAATGTATCGACCTATCTATCTCGATGCTTGCTAAGCTATCTATTTTTGTTGTTTTTATTTCTTTTCATTTTTTTTTAAATTTTCTTGCTTAGTATAAACGCAGTGCAGATGGCACTCACCGATATATAAATACACCCATACGCACGACACACAACAAATCTTCTTTGGAGAAGGAACATCAAATCGATTCCACTTCCGTTTACCTGTTCTGCTCGTGCAGCTGCCGCGCACGAATTTTCCCATACCGTGTTAGGCTACATCGACTATCAACGTATCGGAAAAGGATGTGAAACCACCCCCTATATCCCCACACGTTACATCAAGCCTCGACAATCATTTACAATTGTCCTCTAGAGCTCTTGAGATCTCTGCTGTTAAATAAAAATAAAAATAAAAATAAAAATAAAAACACGCATCGCATGAACTTAAATAAAAAATGTAAAGAACAAGGATTCGTAGGGGATGCAAGACCTCTAAAGGGAAACTGATAATATGAATAGCAAAAGGAAACTCCGACAGAAAAATTACGACATCGAGAGCTTGCTTCAATTTATCAATCTTCTGGGAGTCATGGCTACTGAGACATTGGTTTAAATTTCATGTCTCTCAGGAGTATATAACGTTTAAACTTTACAAGCTAATATCTGAGGGAACTCCTAGGCCCTTATTTCATTCGGGAGAATGACTCCTCAATTCTTTATTCACAAAGCCAAGACAAAATGCCCCACAAGCTTGACATTTACATAGTACTGGATCTGAAATTATCGCTTATAATTTTCGATCAAATTAAGTGAATTTGCAAAGACAGAAAGGTGTGCTAAAATATATTTTTTTGCATAAATAATTCTTTTTTATTTTTGATTAGACTCCAGCCTCTCTTTCTTTATTTCTTTTCTTTCTTTTTCTTTCTTTCTTTCTTTCTTTCTTTTTTCTTTGTTTTTTCTTTCTTTATTTATTTTTCTCTCTATATATATAGTTGTGCTTGAGTTTGTGTGTGTATGTGAAACGTAAAAGATGTATTTTATAATTAATTAATTCATTTTAACTTTTTAATAATGAGCTAAAACTGAAAGGAGAAATTCACCTGTAATAGTTGCCACAAAAAAGCACCTAGCGGAAATATCGAAAAAAGTGAAATAAAATATTATATGAACATAAAAAAGGAACTTTTACAAAACAATGCAAACAGTTCATCAGATTCTCACCGTACAGACTCCATAATTTATATTAAAAATGTAACTGTAATTAAAAAAGAAAGTCATTTAATAAGACGAAAGTAATTTAATTGAGAGATCATTCAAAGTAAACTTACATCCGTCTTCTTTCATTTCGCATTTCTTAATAAATCTGCTGTTCCAACAAGTTTGTATACTTCCTAACAAAATTGA